GAACACTCACCTTTTGGCATCAACTAAAATGCTTTTGCCCATATTGGCCAGGCCATTGGATGACGTTAGATTATCCGTACTTGGTATCGTTGTCTGTGATGTGTGCGTAAATTCTGAGGATGTGGAGCTGGAAGATGACGACGTCGTCGAAGACGCTGATGACGAGGCAGAGGAGTCGCTGCTGGCCACTGAGGTGGCTGCTGCCGCATCCGATGTTGCAGGTGGTGAGGCAGCGCTTGCTGCTGCTGCGGCTGCGGCTGCTGCTGCCACAGCCGACGTTGCCGGCTCCACTTCGATCTGGAGGCGGCAATCGGCCACTATTTTGGCCAGATTGCGATGGCTGGCACTCACCAACGGTACCTGCTCCGTTGCCTCGTTGTCATTGTCCGATGATCCCATATCGACTGCCTCAACACTTTCCACGATCATCAAATTCATTGGCATTTTTTCGTAATGAGTCGCCGCCGCTGCTGCTACTGCTGCTGCTGCTGCCTCACACTTTGCCTTTTTCTTGGCTTTCAGCTCCTCGGGTTCCTTCGGAATTTTCTGAATTTTTGCCAATTTGCGAGGAGCAACACAGGCGGCAGCAACTGCAACTGTTTCCTGTTTAGCTGGTAGTGTTGCTGCGGATGCTGCTGTTGCTGCTGTTGTTGCTGTTGTTGCTGCTGCTGCTGCTGTTGCTGCTGCTGCGGCTGCTGCCACTTTTAATGACTCCTCTACAACTTGTTCAGCTGCTCCTGCTGTCGAGTTTATTACCAACGAAGTGGCCGTCGTCGTTGTTGAATTTATAATTGCCGGCTGTTGCTGCTGCTGCTGATGCTGCTGCTGCTGATGCGGCTGCTGCTGATGCTGATGTTGCTGCTGGGTTGCCAGCGCTGCGGCTCCACCTTCTGGTATGATTGTTGCAAAAATTTGTTCGCCAAATATGAAAAGATCCTTGGAAATAATCATTATCACCTTTTTGTGAACGCTTTAGCTCGCTGTTGTTGGTTTTTGCCGCCACAGTTTAAATATACGTACGTGTGTATTGGGTGATTTTAAATGTAAATCTTGTTTAAATATATCTATGTGTATATGCGTATACAACTTTTTGTTCGTCTTCTGCCTGCACTCGCCTTAAACACGTTTCGTTTATTTTAATGCATTAAACATATTTTTTGCCGCTGTTGGAACTTGGGTTTTTGGGGATTTCTTTAAAATTTCATAATTCCCTGGCTTGTCTGGCTCCTTTTTCTTTTCTTTTCTCGAGTTGAGGCCGACTGTAATGTAGTAAAAGCAGAAAAGTGTGGAGGTATAATTAATATGTTAGCCAAGTGAAACAAGTTGTGATATAATCTAAAATTTTAACAGATTACATGGTAACTCCGACCTGATATTCAATACACAAACTTATTTACATTGCTAGCTTTAAGAGCGAAAACTTTTCGCTAATACAATGTTTTCAGAAAGTTGTTAAAAAGTCAGGCAAGCCGGGAAACAATGTAATGATTTTATTGTATTTTATTATAAACACAATTTGCTGCTTAATCAGAATGCTGGGGTATTTATTCACGGATTATTCATGCAAACTTTCGGTTATTCACTGGAATCAGTTGGAATCTCTCACCAAACTATTCACTTCATATCAGGCTTCACTTGATTCGCAAAAACATTCTCTGATTCTAAAATTTCAATTAAACTTCAAAATGTTCGCCCACACTTCTGCGATTCTCCTGAAAAACGCAGATTCTACCCAACTTTTGGCTTGATAACTTTTCCGACAATTTCCTATATGCACTGCAACCGGCACAGAAAAAGATAATGAAAAGGAATCGGTGAATATCGGTGGGAATCGGTGAGAATCGGCGAGAATCGGGGAGAATCAGAGAGAAGTGGAGACGCCAGTCGAATTTTGTTATATTTGTCAATTAGCCCGCGCGAAACAAAGCGCCAGAGCAAAACATCAGTTTTCGTTTTTAGCGATTTCAGTGTGTTTGAATAAAATATAAGGTAAATGCAGTAATTGCAATAACAACGCACCCAAAAGCGAAGGAAGGTAATAAAATTCTTTGCTATTTTTTCGAATTTGATATTAAAAATCGTCAGCACTTTTTTGCAAATTAAATGATTTCTTTTTCGGTTTCTTTTTGCGGTTTACTTTGTTAACATATGTAGGTTTCTTGTAAACATTTTTGATAACACGCGTGTTAATTTTGGAGGGGGAATTACTGGATTAAAGACGAAACGAAACACGGGACAGATCGAACGAAAAGTAAAGTAACGTAGAAACACGACGAAAAACAGAGAGCTATTCCGCTTTTCCACACAACGCGAGTTCGGCGCGCTTCAGCATTGAAGAAAACATCCAACGGCGCCCGTTGATCCGAACGTACTGAACTGATCGCGGACCGTTAAAGCTAAACGCTTGCGCCAGCGCTCCCAAAGTCGCCGCTCATTCATTGCCGTTCTCTCGCGCTCTCGCTCTCGCGCACTCTCCCCCCATTCTCGCCGCCTACGATCCCCACACGTGCGTATGAGGCTGCACGGAGAAAAATCACTCTTAGTTCTATATTTTACGTTAAGGAAGGAAAACCTTATCTAATTATGGCTTGCATTCAGAAGGCACGTAACATAAATCTCAAAAGTTATAAAACCCGATTAAGAGTTAAGATAAGTATACTAAAAAAAAGGGGTTTTTTTTCCATACAAAACTAATTGAATTGAGTATCCCCGCCCTTCTTTTGTGTAAAATCGATTTAATACGAATTACAATAGTAAGTAGTTCCCTTTTTTTTAGGTGCAGCCTCTCTTCCTCGCTCTCTATTACACGAATGTTAAGTTATCTCCGCGTACATTGCATTACAAATGTTAAGGCCTTACAGCGAGATCACTTCCCCTGCTTTTCCCTAACAGTAACAGAGCTCAACATTATGCTATCCACATTCAGTTTCCCAACGAACTTTGGTAATATTCGTCGACTAATAAAACGAACCAATAGAAGTTGGTTATTTAGCTTGACTGAGCTCGAATTTCAGCTTGGTGATAGAAATTATGGTTTTGGCTGGCAACCCAGATGTCATTCAACAAGTTTCTAGACGTTTTTAGAGTAGCAAGCTGTTTTCAGGCGATTTAATGTGTCTCGCGATACAAAAGGTTTTACTCATTTCTGAGTCCGTTTTAGGTTTCGATATCCATTGAATAAAGTTTTGGATAATACAAAATTTGCTGGTCTGCTAGCCTTTATTCAGGTACAATTAAAGCCAAATAAGTCTCTGGAAGATTCGCTGAGCCCACTAATTTATAATTTCTTCTTAATGCTGTTAGGCAAATGCCCGCTTTCCAATCTTATCAGTCATTAAACTCGAGGGCAACCGCTGCGTATACGCAATTTGAATGCGTATACGAACCGTGTGTGCGTGCAATCCGCGAATACAGCTGTGTGGGTGGCCGGGGCAGACGGGGAGGGAAAATAGAGAAAGGAGGAGATTACACTTAGAACTGGGAACGATCATACAATTATAAGGTATAAAATGTGTCAGCTGCGCTGGGTCGTTGACCAAATCAGATGGAATATAACGCACAATTGCATATTAGGCCTAAATAATGATGATTGTTCAGTTTGCAGCGAAATTGTGAAGTTTATTGTGTGGCCATAAACTTGGAGCGAAAAAGTCGCCAAGTTGCCGCTATATTTTTTTCTCGTTTTCGGTGAGTAGCTCTCGGCTCTCTATAAAAAAAATTATTTTTTCCTGTTGCTGTGTTGGTGGCTTTATTGTTGTTACTTTTTATTTATACGCACAGTGTGCAGAATGTGCGAGGCACCCATACAGTGGCACCAACTCACGCACACGCACACGCACTTGCTCTTAACCTTGAAAACCGCACAGCCAATTTGTTGTTGCTCTACGCTTCGGGCGGCTTTCTTTTTGTTTTTGTTTCGGTTTTTAACTGAACTTTGTTTTTGTTCTACCGCTGATAAGATTCTTATTTTCTTTCTTTTTTCTCCTTAATTTGCTTCTTTTATTCTTTTCATGTGCGCTTGTGCGTATGGTGCGGCCGTTTTTCTGAGTGTACGTGTGAGCGTACAGCAAATATTGAATTTCTAGACAAATTTTATTAGGCGATGTCGGAATGTGAATAGTTTCTTGCTATTCCATTTTGCATGTTACTGTCTAAGTTTTATATTAATTTAGTTTCTTAGTCAAAATATACACGTACATTATACACAAAAGTGTTGAAAATTGTAGCGAAGAAAGAAGGCAAGGGTGAAGATTTCAGATTTTTATAACAATTAGAAATGTTGCTTATTTGTACTTACTGGCAATATAAAATCCATATATATGTATGTATATAATACTTTCCTACATCGAAGAACCATGGAAAGACCCCCGAGTTTCACGAATTGTTCCTGATTTTTATGCGGTTTAATGAACTTGAACTCTTATCAGTCAGGTTGGCTTTCTTGATATTGCCCAGGAGAGAGCTGTAATGCAACAAAAGAAACGGAATAAACAAAGTCGGCGATCCTACTCATTCCATTCGGCGTCATGTGAATATATTTTAGGATTTTGAACTTGGTCGAGTTGGGCTATAAGTAAGTTGGTATAAGTTGGGCAGGGCTATCGAAATTAGGTCGCAATTTTATTTGACTGAGGATACTCTATTTCGTAGGATAAATATCACAAAACAACTTTATTTTTGAGGTTACAATTATGCCATAATTATCTATAAGCTTAGAAAAACGTTGAACTTTACGTTGCTTAAGACTTACATTATTGTTATCCACCAGTAAAACGTTCTTAATACGCTAGTTGAGATATTAAAACTGAACGCCTATAAGTATGCAAATATTTTGTCACCTTCTGGTAGTGTAAATTTCACGTTCTATGTATACGATTACATCTTAAGAATGCATCAACAATTATAATGTTCGATTGCCTCAAACTTTCTGCAAAACTCTGCTTTCCAACTCATCACATCACATATTCATGGGAAAATCATTTCCTAGCAACCCACTTAGCTTGTAGTCGTCCAAACGCCCTTACACTTTTATCACTAAACATTTCAAAGAATTTTCCAAACTTGTACCCCGTTTTAAACAAGATGACGTCCACGCTGGATACGCCGATAGTCTCCATCTTCGATTTGATGGTGGAACGGCATATAAGGCTGCACGGGGGACTAATAGATGCGGTCACAAATGGGGATACTCCAACTCGTCGGCTTAGACCAGAACGTGGAGCGGCCGACGGGAAGAAATCCCTTTTCAAATCCAAACCAAGTCCAATGAAGTGGCCCTTGCCAGAAGAACCGGAATTCGTGTCTCCGCCAGCGGCAAATGCCATTACTGCCGCACATTTGACCAAAAAACATACCACCCTCAAGATGCAGCCACCGATCGAGAAGGATGTGATCAAGAAGCTGGTGGAGAAGATGGCCAACGGGCCAGGCAGGACCAGGACCGTGACCCCAAGACATTCCCAGTCCAACAAGAAGAGCAGTGCCAAGTCCTCCAAGACGGTGGTCATTGCCCCACGGAGAAGGAAAGTAGCCGGGCAGGGATCATTCCGTGTCAAGTCGAAGATCACCACTCAGCGTCCACCTCTTTCCCCCAGAAGAGCAGTAGATGTGGGCAAGGATGCCAATCCGCAGAGCAAAACGAAGCCCAAGAAGAACTCGCTGGAGAAGATGGGTCCACAGATGCGAAATTCCAGGTCAGTGGATCCCCTCGGCAATGCAGATGTTCCTGTCTCAAAACGATGGCGTCTTTAGAAGCGATTTATCAGTCGATTTGCATTCGTTCAAACTAATTAAATTTGCACCAAGTAATGAACAACTTTAAATCACAGTGATCCCCCCTGTGATGGACCGCACTGAATCCCACATGAAGGCGATCAAAATTGCAAATGTACTTAAATGCGGTTTGTCTAGTTTATATACGTGAATAAAAAATATTCATCTGAATACATTACAATTAAATGTAATAAATTCAATTAGGCGGCTCTTAAAATTATACTTATATATTTGAAAGCCCATGACAACCCTTTTAGTTTAGTGCCCATTCATCAAATTAAGGTGGTATTTTTTATTTTTATTTATTTGGTTTTATAATAAATTAGAATTTTCATAGCTGCAGCTTAACATTCGGTTTCTTATTCTTGTATTTCTGCTTAATAAGCCTAACTTGTGACACAGATTGTAAGCCAATTTTGCTAGGGCCCAAATTAATTTGACGAGAGTTAGTTTTTAGAGTGGTATTAACCAACTTATTAATTTTGTTAGCTTAGATCTAAATGTATTTTCTTAATTATTCCGGTTTAGTTATCTCCTCACATTCAATTCGCACAAGTTCCTGCTTTTCTCCAGCTTTTGCTTTGTTTATTTTTGCTCTGGTACATTAAAATGCAACTACTACAGACTAACAATACTTGGCCATATATACGGTTCATATATATAGTGTATATAGAGTACGCAGCTACTGGCCTTTGCCTTGACTTGCGTTTTAGATTAAATAGTTTGAAGCATCTTGTTTCTGATTCTTGTATTGGTATTGGTATCAGTATCGGTATCGTCTGTAAACGGGCGCCAAAAATCGAAAAAGGGTAAAGAGTTGGGAGGAGTTATACAAAAGAACGAAAACATTGCTCACAATTGTTTCGGTTGGTTTTACAAAAGTATTGTACACAATAAGTATTTTGTATAATCGTTTTTATCAAATTTCCCCTAGCCATGGACTGGCAATTATATTATAGTTATAGTTATTACTCTCCAGTTGCCAGTTTTTGCGCTTGCTCGACATGTAAATGAATTTTCTAAAACAAAAATTCAGGGCGCTCTCTCTTGATTTGTTTCGGTTTTTGGTATGTTGTGAGATATGAAATACTTGAGGATTTGTAGATACATTTGTCTGAAGCAAAGCCAAGCAAACAGGTGCTACACGTAAATGCTGTGATAAAAACAAAACAATTGCTCTAATCTAACTAAAATGCATCTACTTAGATTATAAATTACACTGCGCTCTTCTTATCATTAAAACATAATCATAAATATGTAAACAAACATATTGGTTTGTGTTCTAAATTTCTTTTTAAAGTGTGTTGGGCTTGTGACTAAATGTTAGTTGAATTTTAAATTCATTTTCAGATTTTTTGGTGGCATTGCTCTTGGCCCAAAAATGTTTTTTTGGTTGCTTTGCTAACATGTCGAAGACTCATTTTACTTGCACATTTTGTTAAATAATTTTACTGCTAGCGTACAATGATTTCAGCCAAAGTTCTTTCAGTCTGAAAAACAAAAGGTATTTGAGTAAAACGGGTTTAAAGCAAACTTATGTTCTCCACATAAAAAGCGTTTTACAGGGAAGCAACCAAGATACAAATTAGTCAAACATAAAAAGGGTTAGTTGTGAGTGATTACAAAATTTACTTACAAAAATAAAAGTTTTAACAGTGAGTTTGTGTGGTGCCTCGGGAATCGCTTCCCTATTCTTCATTCTGAATATTACAATTTTGTTTGCGGGTAGACCAAAAGGATTTTCAATACAATTACAATCGTACTTCATGATACTTTAACTGTGCTCTACGGTATACAAGACTTATCTCTAAACAATACTCAGCTCTGCTCGAGATAGGTTTTGGATACACCAACTTGCAACATTAACCTTCCTGTTCAGGGTCAGAGGATGTGTTTCTCAATCGGAGAGAAAAGAACATGCACAATTTGGGGTTTTGTGTATTGCTAACTAGGAGATCAGTAACAAATGCCCGCTGGTGCAGTGCGTTTCAAAACTTTCAGACCTGTTTCCTCTGCCCGTAAGAAGAGTACATTTGGCGGTAGTAGGTAAGAAAAACAAAAACATTAAATGCAAATAGAAAACAACCAAGTGCCTGAATAAAAAACTAATGCATTCAGTAAAAATTCATTTATCATAACGCTGAGGACGTTAAATGAACTCATTAAAGCTGCCCTACAGTCATGAAACGCGTTGCAAGTATACATGTGTGTGGTGTGTGAGTGTTAAAGTTACAATTAGTTGTCGCTCTTGCTGTTTGCCGAAGTCTCTGATCGCTGCTGTTAATCACCGTCTAATGAGATGCTTAGAATTCAGTGCGCCCCGCCATCGACATCGACTCAATGCTCTGACGCAGGTGGCTATTGTTGGTGATCTTTTCGCAGACAATGCTCACCTTTTTCAGCAGCTCGATGGCAGTTTGGAGCACCTGTTGCCACTTGTGCAGCTCGTTCTCGTGCGCCATCTCCTGGTCGCGCAGCAGTTCCAGCCATTCCTGGTTCGTGCTCGGCAGCTCACTGAAACGGGCAGGGCATTTGCATACCATTAAATCTGATTTGGCCAACAGAACAGCATGGATGATTTGGGATGACTCACCTCAAGGCCGCCAAACTGGGCATGCGGGCCCGCCGATTGAGATCCACGTCGATGCGTTCCTCCAGCCTCCAGAGCTTAAGTAATAATATCACATTTAATGCCAGCATCAAGCACAGCAAGAGTATAACCAACAACCACAAGCCCTTGTGTCTAAGTCTGTGTCCCTGTGACCCTTGACCCGTTGCCAGAGGCTGGCCGTCGCCGCCGCCCAGATGCAACTGCTGCTGCTGTAGGTGCTGCTTGTGCGGCTGAAGGTGGTGGTGGTGCATTTGCTGCTGCTGGTGGTGGAGCTGCTGCTGCTTGCCGCCCTCGAGCAGCAGCGGATGCCCGGCGGCGGCGCCGACTGCCGCCCCAGGTATGCTACCCGCGGACAGCATTTGGGTCTCCAGGGGATCACCGGCCGGGGCCGGACCAACTGGGAGGACCATCTCCAGAGGACGTATTTGGGTGGCGGTACCTGCGGAGAAACGGGGACGAGCGGAGGAATGGCATATGGAACGGTTAGAAATCAAACCATTCGAACGGAAGAATCGAAATGAACATAGGCTGGCAACAAAATCACAACATTAAGAGCACAACAGAATATAAATGACCAGTAAATAAACTAAACTGCAATAAAAAGCAAGTGAATTAGGTAAATGATGGTCTAGCAATCGTCACAAAAGGCCTTATATAAAGTAAAAGAAACATTATCATTCAAGTGGGACAACTTCAGAAAAGATTGCATTACCTGTAGTTAATTTTTTATAAAAGGAACCAAGCCTTGCGGTGAACAAAATTCTTGCAAAGAATTTTATGATTGGCATTATAGTTTTCTTCAACGAACAAAATTCGAATTGATTGAAGCTTCGTAAATTCATTATGAAGAGGGCAAAATTTTAAGGAAAACATGAGCGAAGCCTTATCGTGACTTGATAAAGCAATTAAATGTAATCATTGCCAGTAGGAAAAATTATTAGATTAATTAAAAGGAAGCATTCCAAAGGAAGGTTAGAATTGGTGAAATCGTTTTATGATCGGCCACTTTTATCACATGAGCTCATAAATCTTTGGCAGTGCCAGCTGTGCCTCTTATCAATCAAGGTAAGCAGCTAAATAATATATACTTTAAGTTTTAGACAGAAAAGAACAAGTTGGCCACCTGATGAGCTGACATTTGTAACTAATATTCATAGCTTTTTTTCTTGGATAGTCAAAAATAATTTAAAATTCCTCCAAACTGTTAAGCTGAAGCTTGCAATTCTGATTAGTCTAATCGATACAACTGATTAAAAACGACTGAATGATCTATTAGGTTTCTTAAAAAAAAAAAACATAATTCCTCGGTGGCAATTGCTAGGCTGAAGGTTCCAAATACTTAAGCTGTACCTCTGCTGGACTGCAGTAGAGCCTTACGGTGATGCCAGTGATGAGGATGCTGGTGATGATGGGGAAGCAGTGGCTGATGGTGAGAGTGGGAGTGCCTGGTGTCGTGATGATGATGCTGACTACCGTGGTGATGGTGGTGATGATGGTGCATGTGCATGTGCTGGTGCTGATGTTGGTCCTGCTGGGGATGTCGCGACTCTTGGATGCTGTCATTGTCCGTACTGGTGGCTGTATGGACCTGGGCACCTGTGGTCGACGTGGATGTGGCGGATTGCTGATTCATGCCTGAGATGTATGTTGATTGTAGCTGGATGTGGCTTTTGTTTCTTAACGAGTTGTTTGATGTTTTTTGTGGGCATGCGTGCGTTTTGGTGTGGTTAGAAGAAGCAATGGCAATTGGCATTGGCAGTTAACGAATTCGAACTCTGATTTCTTGATATGTTCATTACAATATTAGAAAGAAATTGCTTTGCTTTGTTGCTGTATTTGTTGTTCTTGTTGTTGTGGTTGTTGCATTGTAGTTAATTGGTTACTGTGGCTAGAGTCGCAATGCTTACCTCTCCGCGGCCGCCGTCCCTTTCCCTTGGCAGGTGGAATGCAGGTCTCGCTCTGGAGCGCGTGCAATTGGGCGCCAAAGAAGTCCTCCAGGCCCGCCCACGTGTTCTTCTCTATGAAGCCCTTGACAACGCCCCAGATCGACTTCTTGTACTTGATCTGGGTGTGAATTGAGAGCATAGTGTGATCATCGACAGTTCTATGAAACGGAATAGGAAAGCCAATTAGACAAGTTAAAGTTGAGTGACATTTGTGCACTGTTCATCAAGTTATCATCGCCGAGTGCAAGCTGGGTGACTCACCTGGCCAGGCAGAAGTGTATGAGCACACTGAAACTGTCCGCGTATGGAATGCCTGCATTAACACTATTTACGTCTATGGAATACAGTTCGCCCGGCTTGCTACACTCCCGCTGCGTTTGGTACTCGGTTACCTAAGGCAATCAATATATGCATTTGACAGTCAGTTCATTTGTACGTTTCTATTTTGAGGGCAATGCACACTCACCTTTGAGGTCTTGGGTCCCACAGAGGCGGCCAATTGAACGGTGACGTTCACTGTGCGCACTTGCAGACCCTCCTCGTTCTTGGCCCACTCGCCCAACACGAGGTCCGTTGACTTGCGCATGGCATGGAAGTCAGTTATGAATTTGGAC